TTCTGTGGCTCTTTGAAAAGATGACCGCAAGTGGAATTTTTAAGACTTACAGATAAAGAAAATATATTATGCACAAAATCCCAACAGATGTTCCATGATCATTCAAGAAGCTTAATTTATTTCTTCCAAAACACAAATAGGAAGTCCTGGGAAGATGGCTGTGTTGATAAAGTGCCTGCCACACAAGCATTAGGACCTGAGCTCAGATTCCCAGTGCCCACATAGAAATGGAGTACAGTGGCATATGTCTGGAATCTCACTACTGGGCAGATTCATGAAGCTCTTTTGCCAAACAGTCCAGACAAATTATTGAGCTCCATGTTCAGTGAGAAATCTTGTGTCAAAAACTAATGTATCAAGCAGCTGAGGAAAAAGCCGAACATCTGCCTCAAGCCTACACACACACACACACACACACACACACACACACACACACACACACACACGTGAACTCATCACACACACATGAACATGTGGATACCCATCCATAAACATACAAAAGAAAAAGTGGGAAAGACTAATTTGCTCTGTTGTTCTTGATTGGGACTCTTTGAGGAAGAAATAAATGCCATGTCTGATGTTGCCTTCCTCCTGAAAACATAGAATCTCATCCTGAAACTGTCACAAAGAAACATTCCTTTTAGTAATAGTCAAGGTACAAATAAAACCTGCAGTGTTGCCTGTGAGTTACCCACCCTTGAATCTTATAACCCTAATGGCTACTTCTATGTGGTAACTAGTACCTTTGAAGACACAATAACTGTGAGAGAAAAAAAACGTTTTCTCTGTAGATTGGTAACTCTGTATACTTGGTAACTCTGTCATGTTCTTTTAATATTAACTATTATTTCATATGGCAAAACAGTTCTTGTGAAGGCTGGACTCTGCCATGGTTGTCTACTATGATGCAGAATTGAGACAGTTTGGAGCATGGGAAAGCTTCCCAGCATGGAGGAATATGTTGTTATTATTATTATTATTATTATTATCATTATTACCTTTTAAAATTGTCTGAGTATGGTGATAATGAAAAGAAGTCCTTGGCTGGGATAGCAACTCAGTGCTAAAGCCCCTGTTCAATGTACAGGTACCCTGGGCTCCAGTACCTTGTGCTACACCACAAGAAGAAAACAGCCCCTTCATCCCTACATTACATCCATGCTTCATGGCAAAACTTAGCAAGTAAATATCCTCCTCTGTTTGCTTTCCATTTCACTGCTGTGTTTCCCTCTCATAATCCCCAGAAGTGTGGGATTGCTTTAGCCCCAACAGGAATAAGAGGGAATGACCATTTCTTTTCATTTTGAAAGTGATCATCAATTCTGATGATTGAATTTTATCTGTCTGTTCTGTTAAGAGATACATCAACATCTCTCCATTCCTCTGAGGGCCACAGCTTTTAGTTTGGCAGTTTACTGATGCACATAAAACGGAGATACTTTAGAACAACTTTAAACCTTGAAGTCAAACTTGAATCATACTGATAGAAACTCCTGTATAAGCAACCCTGACCTCTTTAACACGGGAACCCTTACAATGGCTCCCTCAAGGAACTGCGTCTTGGCTTAAACCGTGTTTAACAAACTCATTTGCCTTCCATTGTGAAATTTCCTCACCTCCCAAACACTGCAATTCTTTTATAAATTTTCTTCTGACCACTGAAGGCACAAGCTTTGTTGTTGGATTTTTTCCACTTGAAACATTTATTATATATAAATTACTTATTAATAATACTTGTTTAAAAGGACATATGAAGGACTCATGGGTCAGCTGTTAACATTTTCAGAGCTCATTTACAAACCTCCCTAAAATTAGTCTCTTTAGTTTTCATTATGCCACTTCATTCTTTATCAAATGTTTTCATTAGTATATACCAATTGTATATAGTAGTGGGTAAAGGCATGCATCTGGCTGAACTTGTGTCTCAGCCTTCTCTGCAAATATGGAGAGTCAAAACATCCTGTGTGAGGCTTCTGACTCCAGCACACAAGAGAAGTTGTGGCGATCTGGGCCACATCCACAGCTCACTATGTATCTACTTAACACCAAAGGCTTCTGACTCATTACTTTCCTCATCTATCTCTTGCAGTTTCCCAACAGGCTGTATCTGAGGTCTTGGTTGAGCTCAGTTGCTGGCCTGGTCTTATGAACTCTATCTAATGATTTCTGACCATTTATTAGTCATCTTTGGCTACTATATTAAAGTACCATAGCCTGAGATAAATCCAAGATCATATTGCTTATATAGTTGGGTTCTGTTTCAAGTTCTCTACTAGGTTTTTGGAATGTCACATGCAATGCTCTCTGAGACCCCTTTTATTAGGACACTAATTCCATCCATGAGGGCTCTACCTCATGGCCTAGCGAGATCCCAAAGGCTCCACCTCTTGTCACCATCAGTCACAGCAGGGTTGGTCTCTCAGTGTATGAATTTGAGAATGACCCCCAACATCAGTCCATCCGATATCCTGTTGGGAATCTCCTTTTTCTTTCGTCAGTAAATATCTGTACAGCAGAAAATGAACTGGATCTGAAAATAAAGGAAGTTTCAGGGACATGAGAGAAATGAAAGATACCCAAGGGAATGGGAGCAATGTCACCTCTAAGGTCTCAAGGACTAGAGGCTGATGTCTTTACTAAATGGAATCCCTGACCCATTCCATCCTTGTCGTGTGTGTGTGTGTGTGTGTGTGTGTGTGTGTGTGTGTGTATTAGAGATCTCTGTGTGTGCACGAGGAGAGAGGAGATGGATACCATAGAAATATAAAGAGTGCCCAAGGGTCGATAGTTTGACCTCAGATCTACATTTACAGGAACTCCTCAAATTTCTGACTCTTCATTACATATAAATTGTTGGATATTCAGATTGGAGGTGGGTTTAATAGACAATCAGCACAAAGCTAGAAAATTGAAAAGCAAGTCCCAGGAATGGACAGAAAATGGGTTCATCCCCTGCTGGACAAGAGGAAAGTGCAGAGCCCAGACAAGCATGAATGAATTGCACAGTAGTGAGCAGGCAGAGGAGAGACGTGGCTTAGTAGCATCCTTGAGCAGGTAGAGCCAGCCCTGTGATCAAAAGGGAACCTGGGGAGTTTCAGCATGACATGCAAAGGAATTTAGAGCAGTTCAAATTGAACTCAAAACAGAAAGCCTAAATCCAAGGCTGTGTCCCCCAAAATGGCAGGACAGGCAGGTAACTGGAAACAGAGGCACGGCAGCTTCCTGGGGCCACTCCCTTTTACGAGACACTGCAGCCAAAGGCAGGAAACAAACCATTGAGGGGTGCAGTCTGGTTTAGAAGACCCAACTGAGCCCTCTCCTTCATAATAGTGGGTGTGGTTTTCCTTATCAGAATAGTTCTTAGCTTTCCATCAAACTGGTAAATCCGCACCAGTCCTTAGTGGTAAAAAGGAACTCTATTCTATCCACATAAAGCAATTTGAGGTTCCATATGGGGAACACACCACGACACAGTGGCACAGTGAACGATTCATTTAAAGTCTTACGGGAAACGCAAATGCTACTTACCAACAGCAGTTTCTTCTAACAACGATCAATAAAACTCAGGCGTGCACTATAAGAGAGCCAAAAGAGCTTGGCATGCTGGTACACACCTATAATGCTAGTACTCAGGATGTAGGGGCAGGAAGATCAACAGTTCAAGACCACCTTTGGAGACCTAGCAAGTGTGAGACCAACCCAAGTTATACAAGACCCTGCCTCTAAAACAAATAAAAAAGAAAAAGAACCACGTGGTATCAGACTGCTCAGGAATAAGCTAAGGAGACCATCAGCATGACATTTTCCCTCTGAACTCTCACAGGGGAAACATTATTTGCCACCATGGGAACAGTAAGAGAGGATAGCATCTCTGCAATAATTACAGAAGCAACAGAGGACTGATTCAGTCTCATGCCAATGACTTCACCAGATAGTGTCTCCATCATTCTCTGGGGAAGTAGAAGGAAAGAACACAGTCCTCTGCCCTTGAGGTTGGGGAGACTTGGAGAATGGGGTGAAAAGAACAATTGGAATCATAGCTGCATTGCAGATTTCAATGAATACCAGGAAGTGAGGTGTTCTGCCAGGAGCAGAAGTCTCGGCAAGTTCTCTCTGAAGGCTCTCCAGGGACTGCAATTTCTGTGAGGAATTCTTATTGGCTTTGTGATATTACAGCATAGAATTAATTGTCCTGCTGCCTTGGAGGAACTGACATGTATATCCCTGTTGAAGGACAGTTTTATTACTTTCATCACTTTGGGGACTCATAATATTTTCTGTGTAGCCATGCACTCTCTCTAAATGGAATGTTGAGATAATTTTATGCAATTATATTTCTGACACGCTGTATGATTGTTCAGGGTGATTGCTTGACACACGTAGGCAGTGTCTGCAAATGGCAGCACGTGAAAGGAGATATTAGCAAAATGTCATCTTCACTTCTGCAAAGAGGCCTGTCCCACTGCATGAGGAAAAGATCAGATGGACTTAAATTGTTGCTGCACATTTTAGCTCTCACTTGATTTCCCCTGCCCTCCCTGCCACACAAGGCACATCCACCCAGCACTTTTACGAATGCTCTTTCTAACTTAGAAAAAAAATCACACAGTAGCTAGATCATTGCTGTTCAGAAAACTCTCGGTCCAAGGCAACAGCCCAGAGGAAATCATAATGAGGTTAAATGAGGGCTGGAGGTCTGAAGAAATGACTCAGTGGTTAATAGCACTGTCTACTCTTCCAGAAAACCAGGGTTCAATTCTAAGCACCTACACGTCAACTCATCACCATTTGCAATGCAGGCAATACAGGGATCTGATGCCCTCTTCTGGTCTCCATGTCTACAAGCACACACAGGTTGGCACACTGATATGCACGCAGACCAAACATTCATACACAAGAGTTAAGGAAAAGAGCAGGGGAGACTTGAGGGCATTACATGAGCTCCATGACCTTGGCCTCATGCTACTCATCTGTAACCCTCCAATTGTGTGTGTTTTTAGTCATAGAGGAGTGGCAGAAAAGAGGTGGCCAACCATGGCAGCTTATTGAACCTGTAGATGGATTCCACCCCAATGAGGTAAGTGTTGCCATGTGGTGGTCACTGAGGCTATCTGCTTGGTTTTCTAAATATATGTATGCATTCAAGTGTTGGTATTCAACCTAGTTTATTCTGAGAAGGATTTTTAGATATTATGCACAGATATGTAACATAAAAAATTCACTAAAATAACGTGAATATCAGAGAGAAAGTAAAATAAGGTACAAAATTTACCAGGATCTCTGATGTGGTTTCCATAGTTCATAAAATATGTGGAGGGCAATCCTGAGGAACTGTCCCAGCAGACCTACAAAACCTGCTCATGGATCTCTAGTGGCCAATGAGAAAAGACCCATCAGCCATGCCTTACACAAAAAGAAAAATCAATACCTAGGAAAAAATAATGATTGAAAGATATGTCAATATATATATATATGTATTCATAAACATGTATGAAATTTTAAAAATGTATTATACTTAAAATAGTAATAATTGCAAGAATTCCTGAAAGTGAGATGTGTGAAAAGATGTATGGATCTCTCTAGAAAATAAACACTGTGAGAGAACAATGCTTTAGCAATGTCCTGTGGTAAGAATCATTCCTTTTCTCAGAGTTCAAGCAGGGCTACAAAGGGCCTGTGCTTTGGTTTCCTCACAACTCATGGGAGCTGAGGGCTGGGACTTAGTAACACTTGTCCCCACTCCCCTCCCATTATCCTGCCTTCAGCCACAAAAGTTCTGCTTTTATCTGTCCCATATACTTGACTTGCTTGTGACATTTCTATTTTAAAAGATAAGAAAGCATGAGGGAGTTCTTATGGCATTTGAAAATCCTGAAAGCTGGTTCTCTACAGGGTGGGATAGCTATGTGCCTCAGGCAGTCCTCTATCACCATAGGCACTCTGACCCAGCTTCCTGCAGCATGGACAAGGCTTCCACCCCCTCGCTGAGTGCAGGAAGGGCCAGATATGCCCTTGAGAACTTGAATGGAATTCATTTTCCCCAACCCTGGGCTCAACAATTGTCCGTGGGCATGGTGAAAACCTCGAAAGGAAGGAAAAAAGAAAGGAGTGTCTGACGGGTGAGCAACAGTGGAGACCTCCAATGCAAGGCAAACTTGGAGGAGAAGATTAAATATCTACCTCACAGCTGAAAACAACCAGTTTTTAAAAATCTTAGTAACACTCTCAGAATATTGAATCTCTGTGTGTCAGGTAAATGAGTTGTTCCAAGAATTATTGGCTAGGAACTAGTAACTGGGATCTGGTTCCACACAAATGGTGCCTTTCTATTTTTTTTTTTTTAGAATAATGTGAAACTCCATCCCCTGTTTTAGAAGAGGGTACTCCTTCTGCTCCCTAGGCTTCTGTGACCAAATGATCCTTCCTTCCTCAGCTGCCTACCTAGTCAGGACTAAAGACAAGTGGGACACTTCCTCCGACTGAAGCAGGAGTTCTTGAGCTCGTCTTGGTACAACAGAATTCTGATTCCATAAAGGATCGAGGCATGGAAAGTGGTCAGCTATGGTGTCACCCAAAGCCAAACACTAAGAAGGTGCTTAAAGCTCAAAGCCAGCTTTGTTTTGACCCTCAGAACATACTTGTTTGCTGTATTAAATATCAACCTGCCCCTGTCTGACTCTTAAAATAATTTTAGAGTTTGAGATCTACCAAAGTGGGAGTCTATCCTGTTCTGCATACACTGTAGATACAATTGGTTATTGAAATCAGAACCCTAATGCCTAATATGTCCCATAATCTTAACATGATCCCTGTAGAGTTTGTTCCACAGTACATGAGTGAGTGATAAGTGGGTGAGTATGGCATAGCCATGTCTAAAGTTCGGAGCATTGGTACACCAGACTCAAACCCTCCTACCTATCATACATATTGAGCTGAAAAGTACAGATTGGCAACTTGCCATCCAATAGTATGTGTTGAGTCAGAACTCAAAAATGATCAGGAAACCACCATTGTTTAAGATTATAGCATACAGCAGGAGATGAGGAAATAAGTGAATATAATGTGGTAACTGTCTCTAAGTGTGCAAGCAAGAAAGATATCATGGGGTTGAGATAGGAAGACAGCAGAAGATGATGTTAGGAAAGGATGTCTGGAGCATATGACATCACAACTAAGGCCACGAATAACGAAGGGAATAAAGAGGCAGGGAAAGACCGCAGGAAGTGTTTTGAGCATAGGAAATAGCACACGTAAAGATCTGAAAATGGGAGAAAACTGAGAATACTGGAGGAGGTCCACATGCTTCAGCACAGATTAGACAGAGAGATGGGAGTGAGATAGAGAGAAAGAAGAGGGGATCTAAGGCAGATCCTAGGGAGCCTACATGGGTTTCATCTCTTTTTATTATACTTAATGTGTTACAGGTGGCTTCTTTTTATTTTAATTTTAAACAGCTTGTTTTACATGTCAATCCCAACTTCCTCTCCTTCCCCTCCTCCCGTACCCCCCACCGTCCCCCACATCCTCCCACCCTATTGCCATTTCCTTCCACCTAGTGGATATCCAGAGTCTCATTTCACTCAGGGCAGAGTCCAGGCACTCCCCTAAGAGTCCAGGCTGAGAGAGCATCCCTCTTTGTGTTATGGACACACGATGTCTGTTTGTATGCCAGGGATAAACACTGATCCACTGCCCATGGGCCCATAGGTTGCCCAGACCACCTCACTGACTCTCACATTCAGGGGTCTGGATCAGTCCCATACTGGCCTCTCAGCTATCGGTCTGGGGTCCAAGAGCTCTCCCCTGTTCAGATCAGCTGTCTCTGCTGATTTTGCCAGCCCATTCTTTGCCAATTTGCTCATCGAACCTCTCTCTCTCTCTGTCACTGGGTCCCATGGGTTCAATTCAGTGTTTAACTGTGGGTGTTTGCCTCTGCTTACATCAGTCACTGGATGAAGGCTCCAGGATGGTTATGGACATCAAGTTCATTATCAGAAATGGGCATTTGAGGTGGACTCTCCACTATTGCTTAGTTTGCCAGTTGGTGTCATCCCCTTAGATCACTAGAGGTCACACTGGTGTCTGATCTGTCTTCTAGCCTATGATTCCCTCTTCCCCCTATTCTAACCCCCACTCAACCTTTCTGTTCCTCCATGACCTACTCTGTCTTCCTCTTCTCCCCCTTTCTTCTTCCCAGCTCGACATGTTCCCCATCTGTTCAGAAGATCTTGCCTCATTCCTCTTCTCTGGGGTACCATGCATATCTCCTAGGCTCTTTCCTGTTTCCCAGACTCTCTGTCAGTGGAAGTACAGACTGGCACTATCCTGATCCATGTTTAAAATCCATATATGAGTGAGTACATACCATGTTTGTCTTTTTGTGACTGGGTTACCTCACTCAGAATGGTTTCTTCTAGTGCCATCCATTTACCTGCAAATTTCAAGATTCCATTGTTTTTTTCTGCTGAGTAATACTCCATTGTGTAAATGTAACACATTTTCTCTATCCACTCTTCAGTTGAGGGGCATCTAGGTTGCTTCCAGGTTCTGACTATTACAAATAATGCTGCTATGAACATAGTGGAGCAGATGCCCTTGTTGTATGAATTTGCCTCTTTTGGATATATGCCTAAGAGTGGAATTGCTGGGTCTTGTAGTAGATTGATTCCCATTTTCCTGAGGAATCTCCATACTGATTTCCAAAGTGGCTGTACGAGTTGGCACTCCCACCAGCTGTGGAGGAGTTTTCCCCTTTTACCACATCCTCTCCAGCATAAATTGTCTTCGGTGTTTTTGATTTTAGCCATTCTAACAGGAGTAAGATGGTATATCAAAGTTGTTTTGATTTGCATTTCCCTGATGGCTAAGGATGTTGAGCACTTTCTTAAGTGTCTCTTGGCCATTTTAGCCTACTCTATTGAGAATTCTCTGTTTAGTTCTGTACCCCACCTTTTAATTGGATCCTTTGGTGTTTTGAAGACTTGCTTCTTGAGTTCTTTGTAAATTTTGGAGATTAGCCCTCTGTCAGATGTGAGGTTAGTGAATATCTTTTCTCATTCTGTGCACTGCCTTTTTGTCTTGTTGACTGTGTCCTTTGCCTTACAGAAGCTTTTTAGTTTCATGAGGTCCCATTTGTTAATTGTCGATCTCAGTGTCTGTGACACTGGTGTTATGTTCAGGAAGTGGTCTCCTGTACCAACTCGTTGAAGAGTATCTCCCACTTTCTCTTCTAAGAGTTTCAGTGTGGTTGAATTTATGTTGAGATCTTTGATCCATTTTGACTTAAGTTTTGCACAAGGGGATAAACATGGATCTATCTGCAGTCTTCTGCATACCAATACCCAATTATGCCAGCACCATTTGTTGAAGATGCTTTCTTGTTTCCATTTTATAATTTTAGCTTCTTTGTCAAAAATCAAGTGTTCATAGGTGTGTGGGTTAAAATCAGGGTTTTCAATTCGGTTTCACTGGTCTACCTGTCTATTTTTGTGCCAATATCAAGCTGTTTTCAGGACTATAGCTCTATAATAGAGCTTGAAATCAGGTATGGTGATGCCTCCTGAAGTTCCTTTATTGTATAGGGTTCTTGTGGCTATCCTGGGCTTTTTGTTTTTCCATATAAGGTTAATTATTGTTCTTTCAAGGTCTGTGAATAATTGTATCAGAATTTTGATAGGGATTGCATTGAATCTGTAGACTGCTTTTAGCAAGATTGCCATATTTATTATGTTGATCCTACCAATCCAAGAGCATGGGAGATCTTTCCATTTTCTGATATCCTCTTTGATTTCTTTCTTTCTTTCTTTCTTTCTTTTTTTGTTTTGTTTTACGAGACAGGGTTTCTCTGTAATGTTTTGGAGGCTGTCGGTCCAGCCCGGCCTCGAACTCACAGAGATCTGCCTGCCTCTGCCTCCCGAGTGCTGGGATTAAAGGTGTGCGCTACCACCATCCGGCTGATTTCTTTCTTTATAGACTCAAAGTTCTTGATATACAGGTCTTTCACTTCCTTGGTTAACATTATCCCCAGATATTTGATGCTGTTTATGGCTATTGTAAAGGGTGAGGTTTCTATGATTTCTTTCTCAGACACTTCATCGTCTGTATATAATAGGGCCACTGATTTATTTGAGTTAACCTTGTATCCTGCCACTCTGCTGAAGGTATTTATCAGCTCTAGGAATTCCCTTGCAGAGTTTTTTGAGTCACTTATGTAAACTATCATATCATCTGCAAATAGTGAAACCCTGAATTCTTCTTTTCCTATTTGTATCCCCTTGACCTCCTTTTTTTGTCTTATTGCTGTAGCTAGAACTTCAAATACAATAATGAAGAGATATGGAGAGAGTGGACAGCCTTGTCTTGTTCCTGATTTTAGAGGAATTGTGTTGAGTTTCTCTCCATTTAGTTTGATGTTAGCTGTTGGTTTACTGTATATTCCTTTTATTATGTTCAGGTATGTTTCTGTTATCCCTGATCTCTCTAGGACCTTTATCATGAAGGGGTGCTGGATTTTGTCAAAGGCTTTTTCAGCATCTAGTGAGATGATCATGTGGTTTTTCTTTCGCAGTTTGTTTATATGGTGGATTACATTGATAGATTTGCCAATGTTGAACCATCCCTGCATTCCTGGGATGAAGCCTACTTGATCATGGTGGATGATTTTTCTCATGTGTTCTTGAATCCGGTTTGCGAGTATTTTATTGACTATTTTTGCATTGATGTTCATGAGGGAAATTGGTCTATAGTTCTCTTTCTTAGTTGTGTCTTTGTGTGGCTTGGGTATCAAGGTAATTGTAGCCTCGTAAAAAGAGTTTGGCATTGAGCCTCCTGCTTCTATTGTGTGGAATACTTTGAGGAGTATTGGAATTAGCTCTTCTTTGAATTTCTGGTAGAATTCTGCACTGAAGCCATCTGGGCCTGGGCATTTTTTTGGTTGGGAGAGTTTGATGACTGCTTTTATTTCATTAAGGGTTGTAGGTCTGTTTAGATTGTTTATCTGTTCTTGAATTAGTTTTGGCAAGTCCATTTCCTTTAAATTTTTGAATGTTGAAGAGTACAGATTTTCAAAGTATGCCCTGATGATTCTCTGGATTTCCTCAGTGTCCATTGTTATGTTTCCCTTTTCATTTCTGATTTTGTTAATTAGCATGCTCTCTCTCTGTCTTTTGGTTAGTTTGGACAGAGGCTTGTCTATTTTGTTGATTTTTTTCAAAGAACCAACTCTTTGTTTCATTGATTCTTCTCAATGTTTTCCTGGTTTCTACTTGATTGATTTCAGCCCTCATGTGGCGCCGAGAAGAAGGTATATCCTTTTGTGTTTGGGTGGAATGTTCTCTAGATGTCTGTTAAACCCAGTTGGGTCATAACTTCTATTAGTTCTTTTGTTTCTTTGTTAAGTTTCTGTCTGGAGGTTCTGTCTAGTGGTGAGAGCAGAGTATTGAACTCTCCTAATATTAGTGTGTGAGATTGTATGTGCGATTTGAGCGTTAGTAATGTTTTGTTCACGAATATAGGTGCCTTTGTATTTGGGACGTAGATGTTTAAAATTGAGACTTCATCTTGATGAACTTTTCCTTTGATGAATATGAAATG